CCCGCACCGAGCGCGGCCCCGGGGCAGCAGCCGCCGGGCGGTCACCCCCGCCTCGCCGCTCCGCTGCTCCCACCGCCGGCGGGGCTCGTGTTAGAAATGAAATGTTAGCGTTGGTTTTGCGTTCCAGTGTTAGAAACGCAGTGTCGGGTTTGGTTTATGTCCTGGTGTTAGAAATACATGGTTTGTTTGAGACAAGTGAGATGTCTGTATATTTTAAAGGACACCAGGAGTGGTTTATGGCCCAAGACACTGAGGGAGGGAATTGGGTTCCACCTGGGGATCTAAACATGGAGCAGGATTTATGGCCCAAGATCAGACCCAACAAAGCCACTTCTGTCCTGCTGCTCAGGGCAGGATGGCACCAGTAGGTTTGTTAATTGGGAAGGCAGCCCAGGGGGCAAGAAAGGTGAGAATTTTACCTTAAAAGGTAAAAAGTAAACTGCTAGAATGGAATGTGTAAACACGGGCGGGAAACTTATAGGATAATTTGAAGCGTCGGATGGGCTGTGAACCCTGGAGTGCCCAGCCAGTGGGGAAATGGGAGGGGAATCTGCGTCCGGAATAGGGAATATAAACTGTTATTCACCTGACTGTGGGTGTGCCTGCTTGTTTAGGTCACCCATTCTTGCAAGAACATAAATAAACTGTGCTTCGCTGAAGGATCTGTGTGGGCCTGTTCCTTGGGGGGGTCATGGGAAGGGGTGTGAGTTCCTGTAGCGACCGCGGGGCCTGCACTGCTGTGCGGCGACTCACGCGCACACACACCTGGCTCATCTGTAAAGCGGCCTGAGCTGCGGGGATGTGCGGGTGGACAGTCGGGAGCAGGCCTGTCCGCAGAGCACACGTGGGGTGCTGCCCGAAGGCGTGTGCAGCCACCGCACCCGGCCAGGCCTCAGCAGGGGTGGCAGGCAAGTCAAAAGCAAATTGCTCCCCGCGTCTTCAAAGGGCTCATTCATTACCACAAAGGATCCGAGATTGAGGTAAAAAAAGGTCAAGGAACAACCTTTCTTCGCTCTTGACAGCTCAGGTCACTGTTCAGCAAGCCTCATTTAGCTCTCACCTTGAATCCCGTCATCTGAACTGATGGAGGAGTTTTCTTCTTATTTCGATGCTGGCAAACGCTCACAGGACTTCATCAGAGGCTGCTTGAAGTCACATGCTGTCTGCAGACTGTAATTCCCAGCCATGCCTGAGGTTAAAAGTTGGTCAATCCTAGACATGCTTGTTCCCTAGGGCTTACAGATCCTTATTCTGGGTCTGACGGTCCTTTTGTGTACTAGCAATTAGGTAATGATGACAATAATTAACTTGTGATACACTGGGGCCTAGAGGAATTAGCAGAGGGTGGAGGCCTATCCTATTACACTTTATGAAAGTACAGTTTAATCCAAAGTGAGAGAATGACAGAGTTAGTGAGGCTGGAAAAGACCTCTGAGATCAAGTCCAGCCTATGACCTAACACCACCACATTGGCTGAGTCTCCTCCAGGCTAAACAACCTGAGCTCCCTCAGCCTCTCCTCGTATGATCTCATATGAGGCTGAGCACAAGGCCTGCACAGATGTTCTCATGCATATACACATCTGCCTGCTGCTGGTGAAACTGAAATCACTCCTTGCCCTCCAACTCATAACCCAGGGAGGAGTTACGACAAGTGCCTCTGCAAATTTATGTCCAGGACCTTGCCAGAGTTGAACTCACCCAAGACCTGCTCTTTACCTCCCATTATTTATAATGTTTCTAGGGGTCCCAGTAGTGGATCCATATTCCAGTTGGCAATGTACCGTGCAACAAAAACATGGTTCCTGTCACCAGGATTTTACCATTTTCAGCCTGCTTGCTCATGTATTGTGGAATGTATGGAAACACCAGTTAACTCTTGAGAGCAGCTGGGCTATGGCTCAGGTGGAGGCAGAATGGGAACAAATAAGTCAGAATAAACCATCCTCATGGTTGGGAGAGGCAAGGTGCAACCTGAAGGGACTGGAATACAGATTTCTTTGAAAATTGGAAATCTAAATTAGTCTGATATTTGATAATGGCAAACATTTGATAATGGTAGCTCGTAAATGTGTAGGGATGGTATGTTTAATATTCCTCACCCTAGAATGAGAAAGGATTCTAGCTCCCCTGCAGTTTGATGGTTTTAGTGCTTGATGGTTCATAGGTATTAGATTGTGTCAGTGATTGCATGTGGAGGAGAGAGAATGAATTTTCCAGTGAATTTGCAAAAATGAGCATATAGCAGGATACTTGCACATAAAGCCACTGAAGCACCAATCATTCAGACTTCCCCTGGTGAGATCTATCCATGCTCCTTTCCTCCCACAGAACAATCATAATAATAACAATAACAATAATAATAGTAATTGTTACAGTAACAATAACAACATGTAGTCCCTCCTACTGCACTTTTCATCAGTGCAGAAGTGTTCAGGAAAAAATAATTTAAATCATTCCTGTTCTTCAGAGCTAATAAAGGGAACCAGCCAGCACAAAGCACTGGCATTTATTGGGTGATTTCAAGCAGCTTAGCCTTTCTCTTTTCTAGAAAATCCAGGGATCCCTTTAGAATGTACACGTAGATTATACTAGTCAGGTGGGGAAAATGTCAGGATGCTGAGAGCAAATTTAAGAGAGTCGCAACCTTTTTAAATCCTTAACACTTGACAGAATTGTTCTCTTTGTAC